CCCCAAAACCCCAAAACCCCAAAACCCCAAAACCCCAAAACCCCAAAACCCCTAAAATAATTCAAAAAGTGAATATATTTTTATAATTTAAAATAAAATGAACGCTGAGGAAGGCAAGAAGATAGTTAAGTCAATCGTGGATGACTGGAGTCAGATCTATATCAATCAAGTGTTCTATATTAAAAGTTTTAACAATGTCCATAATTACTATGTTGAATTCTCTAGGCCTCACAAGATCAAGCCTATTCCTGAGTCTACTGTTAAAATATATTTCTATGTCATTGATACTACTGATGAGGAGGATAATGACCCTGAGAAGCCGTATAAAGTGGAGTTTAATTTTGAATCAGAGTCCTTGAGGCATACTCTAGATAAGACTATGAGAAAGAACATGTTTGAGAAATGGATCGATCGGGTTCTAGAGAAAAAGAGTAAGATTAAAGAACTTCTCCATCTTGGAACTGAGTTTGAATATACTCGTATTATTGATGAGACTGGAAAGTCAGTCAATCCATTCATTCCAAAGTTTGATATTACTAAGATTAATGATTTCAAGGAAGAAATTAAGGAAAGTCAGAAGGTAAGAGTTGATTCTCCCAGATTTATCAGAACCTTGACTAAAGCTCTTTACGAAGTGTTTCACAAGGCTGATGTTGACCAAAGTGGATCACTAACTTATAAAGAATTCAAAGATGCATTCAGAAATCTTTCTTATGGATTAAATGATAATGATATTTATACTCTCATCTCTCTTGCAGATGAGAACGATGATGGGTTGATTTCATGGGAAGAATTTGTTCCTATTGGAGTTGAAGGTATTAAAACATTCTATGCAAGAAATCAAATTTTACAAAAATCAGCCGAAACAATCAAAGAAATCAATGCTGAAGCAATGGAGGCAGTCTATTATCCAGAAATCAAGAAAGCATGGGAAATCCTTGAGAAAGAATTCAAAAAGCAAGACATTCATGACAAAGGCACCGTCACAATTTTTCAACTGAAGAAAGTGCTCAAAAGGTCCAACCTCGTGACTCCCAAAGAAATCAACGCCCTCGTCAGGAACTGAGATGTCGACGCGTACGAGTACAGCCTCAACTTCAAGAAAGACCTCTTCAGTGTCAGGTTCGAGCTCGCCAAAAGCCAGATCTTGGAGTCGAACATGGACCACGTCCAGAAGAGCATTGTCGAAGACTGCAAGATGATCGACACTGCCAAGAGAGGCAAGGTCCACATCAACCAGATGAACGAGGTGCTGAGGAACTCCAAGTTCGTGGTTCTGAGTCCGTTCCAGATCCACATGGTGCTTGGACAGGCCGAGCTCGATGAAGACAGACTGGTCAACTACCAGAACTTCTCCATCAAAGTCAAGGAAGCCATCGACTCGGTCTACTCGCTGGACGCCCTGAGCGACCTGGCTGACATGATTGCGTCCGAGAAAGTCAAGCCGGACGAAGTGGAGCAGACCTACATTTCGAACTTGGAGCTATTCAAGCTGTTTAAGCAGTACGACTTGAACATGAATGGCTTCTTGGAGCTAGACGAGTACATTGAGTGTCTGCAGAGTCAGGACCTTAGCCTGTCTAAAGAAGAAGTCATCACAATGTCGCTCATGGCTGATACCAATGGTGATGGAAAAATAGATTATGAGGAATTTATGAAACACTTTAGAGATGTATTAGATCTTACAAGATTCCAGAAATTGCTAAATACAAAAGAGTCCGAGCATCAGAGCTTTAAGAGAGAACAGACTCTTGCTAAACAGAAAGCAGAAGAAGAAGCGAAAAGAAGAGAAGATGACTTAGCTATATAAATTCAATTTTAAAGCTTGAGATTGGGGTTTTGGGGTTTTGGGGTTTTGGGGTTTTGGGG